TTTATTAGATGTTACCATTTTTTGTTGTTTTTTCGCTTTCGCCCCAGAAAGCAAGAGATCCGGGTACGAATCCCGGCTGGGGCGAAAGTTTTGCCCACAACTCAGCATTCTTGTGATAACTTTCGCAACGCGAACTGCGGCGTAAAACAGCAGTTATCCGAAAAACAAGTCAAAAATGGTAAAAAATGAGTAAGAAAACAACGCCTCACCAATGCACTGTTGGAGAACAGCATCAACAGGTCTTTTTTCGTCCGAAATCATGAACTTCACTGCGGTCACTGCAGCGGAACGCACTCGAGCAGACGGGGAAGTCACCAAGCTCTTAAACACACCCGATTAATTGCGGTAGTTCAGACTAAAACACTAAAACAAAATAGAACAAATAAAAGCAATGCACGTATGGCAGGTACTAGCTCACTACTCAAACACGTGCATGAAATAGTGAATCACCTTTAGCTCGGGTAGTAGTCCATGAGGGTCAATCACGCTCAACTTGCCGAGACACTCAGCGACAACATTCCTATAATTTCGAAAATAGCCTATAAACTCATCCACCACAATCCATTCTAATGAGCAATTCATCTTGAAGTTGTATTAGCCTTACGATGCCTGCCAAAATTCCCTGAAGCAAGCACCAAGGTGGCTATTAGGAAAAAGGAATCGGTTGCAGCTAAAGCAAAATTCTATTTGATAACTGTTACGCCTATCTGTACGGCACGGCATTCGGTATCGTTCCAAAAATCACCTGGAAGACCGGGTCAAGTTTGGAAAGGGTACGGCATGGGTCAAGTTGACCGGACGTTTTTCTAAAAAACAGGCATGGGAAGTTGTATGAAACGCACTTCCGTGCACCGAAATAAGCAGGGCCGACAGCAGAAAAATCCTAAGTTGACAACAAAAAATTTAGACCGGGAAGATAGGTGAAGATGTACACAGTATGGCCGGCTGGTAATTAGGACCGGTCACTGTTGGTGGACGGGGCGTTTCTATTCAGGCGGTGCTCACCGAAAAACTCCAAAGGTTACAAGAAAGCTTCCGAAGCAGCAAGAAAATGTGAAATACAGAAGTGTACATGAAAGAAATGTACAAAGACTGAATATTTTGTCGATGTCCTTGTGTATGTCAATGTCCCCCTAATGACGGACCGTGTCCATGAGTGCGTATTCGTAAAAAGATAGGAATAGAGGTGAAAAGCCAAAGCCATTGCAGGTGGGTGGCGCCGGAAGCGGCATTTTTCACAAACCTAGATCGTTCCTCACAAACCTTATGATTCGGTTCCGAGACAGCTCGGATCAGAAAAAAAATCGGCAGTGGTTAGCGAAAAAAGGGAGGTCTAATGGTGGACAGAGCTGTATTAGAGAATTATGAAGTGCACGTGATAACGGTCGAGTCAAATTGGTTTTATCAAAAAGTAGCCGTTTTGGAGAGATGAGGTTACGTTCCCCCACCTCACTGAATTGAAAATTCACAGATGCACAATAATCATCATTGGCAGATAAATATCATACTAGATGCTTACTAGAAAATTATAATGTACAAAATCGAGAGAATGTCCAGATTTTGCAGTGAGGATTGCGATCTCCAGCAACCTGCTGAGTCATACCTACAGCTTTCGCAGTAGGAGAATTATACCTAACAATCTCAATATCAGTCATTTGGAGTTGACCAACGTTGAGATACCCAAAACAGTAGTAAATAGAGTGTGCACTAGGAGGTGAGTTCAAGTAAATACTTACATTTTTTTCAATTTCTTTTTCGATTTTTCACTCACGTAAGGCGAGAATTTTTAAAACCGATCATTACTGGACATTTCAGCTCTTTTGCGTCCTCCCTTCTGCCCACTGACGGAATGCCAAAAATTACTTACAAAAATACATCAAGCCCGATATAGAAAAGCACCAGAAAAGCAGCAAGCTGTCTATAACTGGGCACAGTGTTGTTGGGACAAGTCGACTTACTGGTGAGAACCGCAATTACTGATTAAATCAGCAAGACAGGAGAAGAGTCATATGGATATCTCTATGGAAAACAACTGCTTTGAATTATAAAAAAATGAGTCACCTTGTTCCTTCTTCATTCCCATCTGCATGGTCAACAAGCACTGGCCAAATCTCGCTAATGCGAGAGCGGAAAACTTCAATTGGTACAATATTTGTTGACTCATGTCCGATTACCTAAATGAGCACAACTGCCTTCAGCAACAGCTTTTTATGATATATTTCACTAACTTCTTTCAGAGCGTGTAAGAGCAGATACTGCCTCTTCGGTTGAGTCTGGATTTCATTCAAAATGAAGGGTAGGAAGCGCGCATGATTACCAACTGCAAGAGCGCCTAGGGCTTGAGCAGCAGCTGCTTTCAAATCTTCTGAGCTAGAGTTGAAAGTTGGGATGATCAGCTTCTCAGGTCTGTAATCAGTAAAGATTAGTATCGCTGCTATGCAAAAAAATAGTATTTGAACTAACTCAAGGTGGCTATTCTCATAAACTTTCGGACAGCGACGACCAAGTTCACCGAGTGCATGAACACTGAACAAACGTATGGCATCTGTAGAAGTTTCGTTCTGTAGTTGATCCGCTAACTTTTCCGCTAGCGATCGTGCCTGTACAATTAATAAATGCTGATGATATGTACGAATAAGAAAAATAAGTAAATAAAAACATAAGGAATAATGGCCAAGATGAGCGACGGATTCTTGGAAGAACGAGCGCAACAGCACAATTGTAGAGGTTCGGTCAAAAAGTTTGAAGGACCGAAACGCAGAGTAAAGTTAGCTGGTCTATTATTCCACTAAACACCAAACCCCTCCACAACTACGATTAAGATTTGTACAACCTATGAGGACTTCTAGCAGCCGATAGAAATTCTCAATAGCGATATTGAAAAATCAACGGATATGACCATAACAGAAGAACAAGCGATTGTACTACCTTCATTTCGCATCATTGGAGAGTGAGATCGGAGAGGGAAGGTGAGTGGGCCGGAGGGGGAGGGGGTGGGGATACGGGCGCAGGGTGATCTCCAAAGACAAAGATTGCGGGTGAAGCTACACGGCCATGATTATCGAGAAGGCCGTTGAGAGAAAGCGAGAAAGAGAAAAAAAACCAAGATGCCGGCTGTGAACATGCTACAAGAAAACAGTGTTTCAAAACACACCGAAGCTGCAAAGCGCGTCCAGACAAACGGGGTGGGACAGTTCGAATTTAGTAAAAAAATATGCCGGAATTCTGAGATTTGAGTCGTTGACCTGGATAAGCCGTCTATGGAGTTCCGCGAACCGTCTTAGGTCTGTTTGCTGAATTTTCGGCAATTTGCGGCGAGACCAGGATGCGAGGGTGCGAGAATATTGGTAGTGGTCGTTCATGTGATGTAATGACTCTGTGTAAGGAAACAGTAGGGGTAGATCATGAGTAGGGCGTACTCAACCATACATCAAGCCAGAAATGCTGACGGGGAGACACTTGCAGTATTGACAGTCAGGCAGTTGTGATAGTTCGTGAACCGGGGCAGCGTTGCGAATCGGGCCGGCGCATCAACCGAATAAATTCAGCGAAACTTGCGACTTGACGACGAAGATTCGCGGGACTCGGGGCACACCAGCGGAGAACGGTTGGAAAGAGCGGGCATGCCAAATGGTGGTTAGGAAACAATAGAAGTTTGAAATCCCTTCTGTACCGGAGAAGCATACTAATAATGGTGTGGCGAATCCAGGAGCACATCTCGGGCCCGCCATGAATGAATAATTAAAAGGAAAGTTTTTTTTGTGAATGCGCATGCACCCATATTTCGACTTTTGAACAGAAATACAGGTGCTGCCATCTGTTTAAGATTAGAAGGAGGCATAAAACACCGGAACCTAAAGCGAGTTGGCCCAGAGAGAAAAATTTAGTGTAGAAAAACTCTTCCGGAGAATATTTTTGGCCGATACTGTACACGGACGCCTTTCATGACGGAAGCTGAGAGTTGATAATGACCTTGTTTATCCGGCCTAAAGACTTTGCAGATTATAGATGCAAACCTTCTCAATATCTCCGCTTGCTGCGGCAACGACACCGGTGGCGGCGGAGATAGATTGGAAAGCTTGTCTGGATAAATTTGGAACATCATAGACGGGTGCCGTAAGCTGGTCAAGCAATTCCTGTAAGATTTTTTCTTAGCTCTAATGCCGGATTAGATGGCCAACACATTCTATACCTCGAATTCTGGCTTTCCAGGCACAGGATTGGAAACTAGTACTTGAATCATATCAAGAGATGCTTGCAAAGTGGCTCCCTGAAAGAGATCCTCTATAGGTACATCAATATCGCAGCAATTGATCATCGCAGCTGTCAGTAAAACTCTTGACTCAATGACTTTACCTGCAACAACGCCGACTGTGAAAGATGAATAACAGAAGAAAGAATTGAGGCCAGCTGGGGTGCAACTCTGTCCGGATATGCTTGTAAGCCAACTAAAAGAAACAGTAAAATTCTACAAAAGAAGGATGAGGAATTAACAGATCCCGAATCCAACCTGCACAGAGTAAACAAATGTCATGGGATTAAAACAACAAAAACCAAGCAGTAGTAGTAATGCCAAATCACACACTCTTTGCTCGAAGTAAGAGGCCAAATTCGCTGCGTAACTAAAAAATCATTACATCAATGAACCAACCGGTAATACACTTCAAACAAAGCTGAGAAATCTGCAAGTCTGATTCCCGGATAAGTGGTGGCAACTCTGCGAAGATCTAAAATATTCTCTAAATTCTTGATTTATTTAAGAAAGATTAAGTAATATAAAAACTCGAACTCTAATCTTCAATTTGGAGGCGAGAAATTTGTGAGTAATTTGGATCTATTGGCTAGATACTCACTCGGGGTATGGCGCTTGCCCTCGCCGATGAGGTTAGTGACTGATAATCTACCTCCAAAAATTCCAAATTGGATAGTTTCCAATTGCTCATTTTGAGTTGGCTACTTACCAGGAAAGGCATTCAGCTTC